TCACATTTATTTTACGTCTCCGTCTTTACGGCAAACGTTTTGGAAAATATCAGTGTTTCGTGTTCGTTTTGACTTTGTGTGGACGGGGCCATAGACAGGCTTCAGATATCACAGGCTAAAGACGTTTCACGTTGGGGAGGTCTAATTTCTTTCGAAAAAGAAGGTACCGGCTCCTTGAGTGAAATGATGTTTATGTTTTTCAACATTTTTTTCTGTGCCCTTGGTTCTCGACCTGGATGCGACAATCTGGAAACATTTATTTCTTTTGAATGAGAAGAAGTGCTTGTGAAAAATGTTCGGGGTTTCGACTTTTTGGCGTGTTGAATAGGCTGGAACGCTCACATGCTGTGGTGCGCTCTCTGAACAGGCTCAGGAAAGGAGCCACAGAGGAGGGCGACCCCTGCTCGCTTCCTCCCTCCCAGGACGCTGTTAGGCCAATCGCTTCCTTCTCCTCACCACCGATGTGGAGGTGGGGGGTGGCTGGTCAGTGCAAGGGCCTTTTTCTGCCAGTGAGCCTTGGGGGCATAGGTTTTCTGTGCACCTTGCAGTGTTGCTTTGCTCTTCCGCAGTTATGGGATCCTGACGTACGTTTGCAGACCAAGCAGGAAACGTATGTCTGGGAAGGCACAGCTTTAGAGCTTCTTCATCCCTCTTCTTCTCCTCTCACCTCTTTTGCATGGAGGTTACCCTTGAGGTGATATGGGTGTGTCCAGGAGGTACTCCTTCTCCTTAGCTACCAGGGTGATGAGATTCAGCCACCTGGCTGTCTCCTGCAAAGCCATTAGTCCCATAGATCTGCCCAAGGCTTGGATCGCCACCTTATGGAGATGCAGGCAATGGTCGGTAATGATGCACACCTCCTCCCAGACGGCTGCATCTGGTTCGGCGATCATTTGCTCTTCTGTTGCAGGTGTGACAGATGGTCCTGAAAACATTGCTTGCATCCAGGGGGATTTACCATTAGGCAATACTGGGCAGTTGCCTAGGGCCCCAAGTTCCTGGGGGCCCCATAAAACTCTGGTTCCATGTATGGTTAATACAACTATTCCTAATTTGTGCTCATTAATTATGTTTTTGATAAAAATCCTTTAGCAAAAAATGCCATAAAAGAATGCTTATAATATTAAGTGTGTCTCAGCCCCCCCCCTTCAGTGTCCACCATATTGGATCAGTCCATTTGCTGCACATGTTCAGAAAGGTCCAAACAGACAGCAGCAAACCATTTGAAAACAAACCATGCAAAGAGCAGTG